TTGCCTTGCCTTGCCTTGCCTTGCTTGAGAGCCTTTTGAAAACATTGCATGGTAGTTACAAATTTTGTTATTCCTTTGTACATCACACACACACACACACACACACACGTTGTGAATGTAGTTGAGTTTTTGCGTTGTATTCTGGTGGTTCAGAAAAGTGCTTGGCTTTGGGTTGCTGCATAAGTACAATGATTAATGGTTTCACCAGTATCAGGTATGTCAAGGAAATACTTGCAAATTAACCCAATGTTTGGCCCATCGTGACCGAGATCAGGCCTAGGTTTATGTAACGTCACTAAACACCAAAATAGTTTTCCAGATATTTCAGAAGTGGATTTTGCACATGATTTATGACTCCTAAAAGTTAAAACAACAAGCCAGGGTCTTCTGAAGTAGAAGAAAAGGTAGAGTGGCTGTATAAGGTGGTCATCCTTTTTAGGTGGAAACAAAAGTGAATTAGGAGAGAAGCAATGATTTAAAAAGTGCTAGGCGTCACGGTCCAAAAACGCTCGAGGCGCTAGGCGTTCGCCCGAGCGAAGTGAGGCGCTAAAAGTTAATAATATTAAAATTAATAGTATTAAAATCAAAATAATAGTGTTATACTGTATACAGTTAATAGTATACTGTATACTGTTATTAGTATATTTCAATTTCGAAAGAGGAGAAGCGAAAGAGAAGAGAAGAGTGTAAGGGAAGATCGAGGGTGTTGAGAAAAGCGGGAGCGGCAGTGGTAGTGGCAACGGCGAGCGACGACAGTGGAAGCGGCAACGGGAGCGGCGACAAAGGCAGCGACAGGAGCGGTTGCGGGAGCGACGAGCGGCGATAGTGGCAGCGAGAGCGGCGAGCGGCAACAGTGGTAGCGGCAGGAGCGGGAGCGGCGACAACGACAATGAGTAGCGTGAATGGCGAGCAGGGTTAGGGTTGGGGAAGTCGCTCTGATATCGGTGCTTTAGTTGGTTCGATTGAACCAACTAAAGCACCGGAGGCCAAACCAGACCTAAACCGTTGGTTCGGTCGCCTGGTTTAACCCAGGCGCTCACCCGAAGCGCCCGGCGCTTGGGCTCGGGCGAGCGCCTAGGCAGCGCCTCTTTGAAGTGCGCCGCCTGAAAATGAAGCGAGGCGCTCGGGCCTCGCCTCGCCTAGCCCGAGCGCGTAGGCGAGTGCCCGAGCGCCTTTTTAAATCATTGGAAAGAAGAGAAAGGTAAGAGAAACATACTGTCACACCTGAGAAGCTTCTTCTCACCAAGGGTGGAGAGATCTCTATAGGGGGGAGAGGAGAGGTACAAAGGGAATTTGAGGTGGGATGATTCTTCCACCAATTGTGTTTTTACCTTTTTTGGTTTGCACATAGATTATAAAATGTTAATTTTGCTTTTATTTTCATTTTTCTTTTAATACATACAGAGATAAAAACATCTCATTACCAGATTTTGATGCCAGAAGATTAGACAGTAGCCAATATGACAACATCTTCAGAGGAAATATAAATTTCTCATTACCAGAGTTTGCTGCCAGAAGATTAGACAGTAGTCATTATGACAACATCTTCAGAGGAAGCTAGAAAGACATATGCTGAGTTTGAGGAGAAGGTGAGTAGAACAGTGTTCCTCGATAACCTCTCCACTCAGGTGACAACTGCTGTGATCAAACAAGCTCTTGGTCAATTTGGGAATGTGATGAATGTGGAATTTATTCCGAACTACACTATACCATATCCTATCCCACAGTCTGCCTTGGTTGAGATGGAGAATGAGAAGCAAGCAAAGGCCCTTATCTCTGAGATGACAAATTACCCCTTCATGATGTCAGGAATGCCAAGGCCTGTAAGGGCAAAGCCAGCAAAGATTGAAATGTTTGCTGATCGTCCTCCACCGCCTGATAGAAAAATACAGGTGCGTTGGGTAGACCCCTCGGATGCAGATTTTGTGGTGGCAAAGAAGCTGAAGCAACTCTGCAAGAAGCACAATGCAGAACATTTAGCACTAATTAAGGTAAGTTTTTGAAAACTTTACCAGCCACATCATGATTTATTTAATTGGTAAATTAATTTTGGGAATCAAATTCAATATTTATAAGCATGAGGCAACTTAATGTTGCCACTAGGGAACTGTCAGTTTTTCTCTTGCATCATTTTCTCCCCATTCTACATTGTGTTATTCATAAGCATCTAACAATCTGGATAGTTCTTAAAATGCTAAAACTAATATAATTTGTGGTGTCTACCAACGAATATCCACAACAGCTCATTCTGAATGAAGTATAGCATTTGTACGATTGAGTTTGATCATATCTCCAGTTTGCTACAAGAGATTAGACCCAATTGATCATTGGGTGTTTGTAACTTGTTCAGTTTGATAATTGAGTTCATGGGTCCATAGTGATGCAGCATTTTTTAGCTGCTGATTTGTTTGCTTCAAGTGGGGAAGTCCTGACATCTTTTCTTGCCCGTTTGCAGCATCAACTGGAAGAAGAGGAAAAGCTTGCAAAACATCAGGAGGAGATGCTGAAGACCAACTACAAGAAATACGAGATGATAGAAAGCATCGTGCAAGATGGCACCACGTCACGGTTGGCGCGGCACTATGGCGTCAGGCTAGATTATGACTGAGGCCTCCAATCTTGATTGTGGAAGGTCTTCTGATGGTTGATTAGTGTGTTTTGGCAGCTTTTTCTTCTGCCCATTTAGAGTTCCTACGGTTAGATGCCGTGAAGTGGCAGGTGAACCATGTTATGCTCCTACGATATTTTTGGATGTGAGATGGAAGCATTTCGGCCCTATCTTATGCTGTTGCAGTGGCTGATAAGTTTAGATGAGTGAGTACGATTTCTATTCGACCCGGTTTTTCTATAAATGTCCCTGTTCCTAGGTCTAAAGTGTTCAAACCCAACCCAATTGGATCGGATCGGTGCATGTCGAGCACTCGTTGAGATTATCTGGTCTTTTAGTGGGTTAGGCCGAGCGGATTTGAGCCGAATGCTCTTCTCGATCTTGGGCCGACAAGCAGCTAATCTTTCCCTAACGCTGTATCGACAGTCAACCCAAGCTTAGGTCCTATGGGCCATCTCCCAAACGGTGAATCCCTGGAAACGATCTCCTTCTCCAGGTACTCTCTCTCTCCCTCTCTCGCACTCTCTCTCTCTCTGGTTTGAGATTCTGGTAGATTCCAAGAACCAATTGCTTCGAACAATCGTAATAGTAGATCTGTACAATGTTATTTTAAAAGATAATTTCTGATAAGACCTTAGGGTTTTATCATTTAAAGAAGATAGATGAAAAGAAACAAGTACATACATATTTATAGAGTTCCACCTCATAGCCCATCAGGACTTGGACTCCTAATAAATAAATAAATATCAAATAAGTTTCGATTCTTATTGGATTAGATAAATTTAATAAAATATTATTTAAAACTTAGAAAATAAAATATTTAAAACTTAGAAAATAAAAGAGATCTTAACAATTCCTTCCCCTTTAAATCAGTCTTGTTCTCAAGGCTGAATAGTATCAAACTCTAGGAGCTTCTCTTACAGCATTTTAGTCACAAGATATCTGTAGCGTAACACAACCTATTGATCAAGTAAGTAGGGTCTCCACTTCTTGATAGTGTAAGCAATGGGTTGGCCTTCCAGTGTAGTAGTCATTATAGTCTTCTGAAGAACTCTCTCCATTCGATGGCTAGTGGCAATTATGATATTACTTCCACGTCTTCCCTTTAGGATCACCTGCTTTCCATTAATAAAAAACTTCATGATTAGTTTAGAAGAATTCTAAGAAACATCACCGAGGATTGATATCCATTCAATTCCAACCACCACTTCGAAGTCTTCCAAGGGTATCAAAAAGAAATCTACAAGCAATTCTTGGTCTTGTATAATCAATTTTATCTTCGAATACTCGCTATCGCAAGTTAAAATCCATATATTAGAAACCTTTACTTTGAATTTGTCACAACCTTTAATATGGTAGGCCAATCGATCAGTAATCTTACACTCCATAAAATTATTAGTACTTCTAGTATCAATCAAAACTATAACAGGCTGATATTCCAAAGTTCCTCCAACTTTCATAGTTTGCGGGTTAGAGTAGTCGGCTAAAATATGCATTGTATGTATGGTAGATCCAACATCTTCATTAGAATCCATACATTCATAATCGGAGCCCACATTATTAGCTTTCGGTTTCTCCCCAATTGGTTCAATCATCAGAAGTTGCCCTTGTTTATATCGGTGTTCCTTACTCCACTTTTCATCATAGTGCCAACACAAACCCTTCACTGATCTTTCCTTGAGTTCTTCTCGAGTTAGTATTTGAGTGTTAGGGTTTCGGTTGAGAATACATGGGGCTGATGGCTTGCTGATCATTTATTTATTGTCACTTCTGTTTCGACGATTCTTCCTATTGATTTTTTCCACATGCAAACGTGCAAATGAGATTGCGGCTGTCATAATGCAGGGTTGGCGAGCTTTGACTTTACATTAGATATCTGGATTAAGTCCTTGATAAATGTTCCCACCAATTGTCGTTTGGATCAATCTCTGGTTTGATTTGATAATCGTTCAAATCTGCTATGATATTCTAACACTGTAGACATCTGGCGAATTTTAGCGAGCTGCCTATTAACATTCTTATATTCATATGGTCCAAAGTGAATGAGAAGCCCTCTCATGAATTGCTATCATGATAGGACCCCATGACAAGTTTCGTACCAATCATATCATTGTATTGCAACTCCATCTAGTTGGATTGAAGTTATTTCCACTTTAAATTCTTCTAGAATTATGTGAAAATGAAAAATTTTTCTGCCCTTGAGATCTAACTAGTTGGATCTCTATCTTCTCATCTTAAAAATTCCACCTTCATACGTGGGTAACTTGTGTCTTGTTCTTGTTCCTTTTTCTTGTGTCTCCAGATCAGTTTAATCTAAGACTTTAGCTTTCATCTTGTTGAAACTTGCTAAAACTCTCCGTCCAATAGACTCTTTTTAAAATCATTAAGGATTTCTTGCAGTAGGTTCTCAATTCTGATTTTCAAGGCTTCTAATTGGACTTTCATTGAGTTATCGGTAGCCATTACGTTGGACTATAGATTTGTAACCCCCAACTCTTGTTTATGGTGTCGGGTCAAGGGCATCAACACTGCCCTATTCGGTGCTGCTGTTATGATGTCGATCAATGACAGCATTGTGAGGATCAATGATTGTTGTGAGGATGCCGATGAGGAAGCGAATGCCGAGAGTAATGTGAGGGTTCGTTGTGGTCGCTGCGAGGAGGACATGAGGGATCACTACAAGGGTGCCGAGGACGTTTTTGGATGTTGAGAGCAACGTGATGGCTCACTGCTATCGCACTAAGGGGCTCGACTGTAGGGCAGCAGTGATGGTAGTGCGGTTGGGAGGTGCTAATCATAAGTGCCCTGCAAACCAATCACATAAGTGATGACACATATGACATGATACATATTCTTTTTGCTTATTCTATTTTGACATTTTTATCACTTTATATTGCTTGTTGCGCGCGCGCGCGCACACACACACACACACATAGTGATGTTCATGGATTTGTGCAATGGGAATCGGATCGTGATGAGATCATGATGATGAGACCGATTCACCTTTAAACACAAACCATAAATAATCCTGATCATATGTTACTCGAGAGGGATATCGAGATAACCAGATAGACTAGTTCACCGTATATCTATCCATATGATGGATGCAACTAGTCTTATAGCTGCTTGTATGGGGACACTAAGGATACAACGTAGATGCTCATTGGAGAATGAGTTCACTGATTGACCCGCTCACGGACTGGATTGTTGATGATGCCTTATTGTTAGACAGTGATTCCATAGTCCCAGTAGTATATCTGGTCCTTAGACTTGAGATACCAAGGATGTTTTGTATGAGTATTCCACTCTTTGATACTAGACTTATAGGTTTGAAAGTTTCAAATCTAGTACAACCAGTTATTGGGAGTGACAGCCAATCTTATGAGGGCTATTGAGTGTCGATAGAGGATCATCCACTCTCGATATCATGAGAGGAATATCTTATGTGTTCTTGCTCAAACAAATCCTTGGCCAAGGTTATTCGGATTGAGAGAGAAAGAGTTTTTTGGGAGAATCCGATTAGAGTGAGACTAAAGGACAAACCGTATGGGCCTGATAGCACCATGCTCGCTATATGGTCTCTAAGATATTAGATGGATGAGGAACTATAGGTACATGGTAATTGAGGACAGATATGTCCAAAGGATTGAATTCTCTTGTATTGTCTGAGGACTACGGCGTAGTGGCCTAGTACGTCCGTAGTCGATGAGTCGAGTGAATTATTATGGAGATAATAATTCACTGAGCCAAAAGGAGTTCTGACATGTATGACTTATGGTCAACTCGATATTGGGCCTAGAGGGTCACATACATATGGTAAGTGTTGCGATGAGTAGAGGTTCGAATATGAGATATCTACTAGAGCCTATATCTTATTGGATATCCAATAAGCCCATGATTTATTAGATTTCATGGTTGAGATCTAATAAGAGCTAATAAGAGATTATTAGGTAGAGATCCACTAATCTAAGAGGCTTGGATAATTGGATGGAGATTTAGTACCCAATAGGGTAGGATCCATTAGGGTTAACTAGAGGCCTCTATAAATATGAGGAACTAAAGGCCCATAGGTTGGGGCTTCTACTCCTATTCTCCTCTACTCTTCTCCTCCTCGGATATTAGGCCTGGAGATTTGAGGAGCGTCGTTGTAGCCTTGTTATGTGGATCACCACTAGAGAAGAGGACGCTTGACCTCCTTCATCCACTCCCACAGATCTGCAGGGATTTGGGGATATACGATCTCCCTAGATAACACAACTATTTATCTCACACGTGATTTTCTGTGTCACAGATTTTACGCACCAATCTTTGCATGACGATGAACACCTTTTGAGAAATTTAAGATTTTTGTTTTTCTATTCTTCTACTGCGCATGTGATGTCACCCATAGATTTTCCAACAGTGGTATCAGAGCCAGGTTGTTTGTGCGAAAGATTGGTTTTGAACTACGTGTGTTGTGTTTTGGAGAAGCTTTTGATATCAAAATCATTGATGCAAAAGCGATAAAGGGCAGCAACTGTTGCTACCCTCATAGATGGCAGCAAGCTACCATTTGCGTGCGTCTAGCCACTACTAGTAGGCAGCACAATGCCGGCGCATGCACAGGCGTTGCGCTCACAACACTTGGCCGACGGCCTGCTTGCATCAGGCTTGCGGTTTGTCATAGACTTAGCTGGTTTTACCTAAGTCGTGTGACACCCTTGCGTGTCCGTCCGCAAAGGTCAGTCTCCCTGAAGCCTCTCATGGTCCCTTAGGACCTACGAAAGAGAAAACGGGTTAGAGAGAACGCCTCACTCGGGATCCACAAGCAAACATTCTAAAAAACACTTCATAGACAATGCAAATTACAAACAGACTTTACAAGCTCTGAACAGTTGCACAATAAAGGGTCAAAATGGTCCACTACATATTAAAAATCTCTCACAAGTGTCCACATGACACAACCTTTATTTACAAGCCTAAAGCAGCTACCAAACCCAACTAAAATGAGACTATTAAGCCTTCGGTTGTCCCTCTACATGCTAGGCAAAGTATGAACATACCAAAAGACACGGATATACATAAGCATTACATCAAACATCCTATTTATAAGTTTGTCCATTACATTCTCCCCTACTTATTCCTTCGATGTCCTCGTCGAAGCCTTTGTGAACACTGCAACTCCTTGCCTTTGCTGAGTCTTCAATCTTCTACTCCAGCTCCAATGCGCCTCTTGCTCCTAGCTGCTCTCCGCTGCTATTTTTGAGTAGTCGAACATT